GATGGAAATACCTGAAAACATTGATGGTTTTAGCTGAAGGGGCCTCTTCTGTCACTTCCACCGCTTCCTCGTCATCAAAGTACTCCTGGTATATGTCGATGGCATTATTCTGTTTGATGCAATGCTCCATGATCTGAAGAGGACACATCGGGAGTTCTTAGCAGTAAGGGGAGGTCCTTTCAGACTGACCAGGACTGAAATGGAGTCTGGGAGGGACCAGAAATAGCTAATGGTCTTTTCCCATCCTTCCAGCCCATGCATTTTCAATGGGGACCACATTGCCCTCAAGGGGGTGGGAATTGGTTGTTACTGGTAAAATAAGATTACTTTTTCCGATATACATACGGTACACAAACAGATGTACGGTATACCTATGACATTAAAATTTCATGGGGCAATTAAGAAAAGAATGTCTAAAAAGGCTTGTTGGGGAACAACAATGAGAAAAAGGTGAAGAAACACTGCTCCAGTCAAACAGAAGCATTAATAACTTCATATACCGTACCCATCTCCTGGTCCCTCTACCCAACGAGTCTTCCCCATTATTCCAAATGTCCAGCATGGAAAAGCCCAAGTTCAAGTGCCCCCTCTTCCAGGAAGCCTTCCCTGCTCCCTTCAGCAGGAAATTGACTTTCCCTCCTTATGGGGCAAATGGTAAGTCATCTCTTCTCTTCGAGCACCCTTTCTACAGTATATGGTGGTATCTCTGTATCTGTCTTTGACCTCTGCTAGATGATAAACTCTCTGGGGCAGATGTATGTGCATTTTATTTTTGCAGTCTCTGCTGTGCCTGGCAGAGGTTCGGCACAAATGTGTTGAGTGAACGAACCTTCCCTATTGGCAGGTAGCTGCTGGGTGGGGTTCTCTTTGCTCAAGGGGGCTGCTTTTCAGGCTGCTAAAGCCTGTTCAGTCCCTGCACCTCGCCACCTTTCCCTTTGGTCTGCGGTGGTGGGCCTGTCTGCCTGCTCCCATACAGAAGTTTCCTTAAGGTGGCCGGTGTTCTTCCCCTGAGTGGCCACAGGAGCTGAGCACAGGGCCAGGCACATTCAGGGCTTGACATGCCATGGGGGAACCAGAGTGGTGGCTGCGGCTCTGACCGCTGGGGCCGGAGGATGCCTCACCGAGCCCAGCTGCGTGATGACGTTGATGTAGTTCTCATCCTTCTCCACTTTCTTCCGGAAGCGGATGGTCTGCTCCAGCTCCAGGGGGTTTACATCCTTGGGCCAGCCCCCCTCGATGTGGTTGACCCCTCTGGTCTCCATCTCAAACCACTCTGTGTTGGCCTGAACAGAACCCCAGGTGAGAAGACACACGCCCCGGATGTAAGCATTCAGACACTCCTGCAAACCAGGATCCTGGGCCCTGAGCCTTCAGGGACGGACTGATGAGGTGCCCTTGGCCAAAGCCACAATATTTTCAGGTACCAGGAAGGTGGTCACGGGGCATCAGGGGTCACAGTCAGGCATGAAAGTGCCACCGTGTGGAGCTAGCTGCTTTGCAGCTTATCTACTTCTGACTTTATGTAAATCCTAATGGACCAGAGGAGCCCATCCATCTGTTCTGTGAGATCCCAAAGGAACAATAAGTGAATAATCCTTCTCCTCCCAACCATTTACAATGTCCCAGGAATCGAAACACAGAAACAATTAAGAGTTTGAATTTGCTTTCACCATTCTCTGTCACAGGGAGAGTGGTATAGACGTGGTTTACCCCTTAAACTTTTTTCCCATTTTTAAAATTGTTGTAAAATACATGACATAAATTTTACCACTTTAAATATTTTAAAGTGTACAGCTCAGTGGCATTAAGAATAGTCACAAAGTTATGCCACCATCATCACTGTCTAGTTCTAGAACGTTTTCAGCACCCCAAATAGAGACCCCATACCCCGTAAGCAGTCACCCCCCCAAGACCCCTTCTCTTTTCTATTTTTAAGCCAGCTCTCACAAAAGTCAGAAGTCTTAACAGGGCGGAGCTGCTCACAGGAGACCCTAACATGGCGTGGACTTCATGGTGGTCATCTTGTTTAGTTGGCTACACCATGGACAAATCGCTCTGGTCCCCGTGACAGTAATTTGTCCTGGGAAAGCAAGAAACGCAGTCCGTTTGAACTGTGAGTCATCAGGACCACCCACGAAAATGTTTTGGTTAAATCAAACGTGGTTTTCACTCAGTTAATTTGGGANTCTAGTCCATTTCCCAGGTTTGGAATGGAATGCAGTATTGGTCCTAAGGTTTTTACGTAAAGTCACTCTCCCCTGACTTCTGTGTACCAGTTTCCTTGTCTGTATACTGGGGATAATGTTGGAGCCCACCCAGGGGGTGGCTGTGAGAACTCGAGCTGCTCAAGAGTGTAGAGTGCTTAGTTCTGCTTGGCACCTGCACCTACTAAATGGGCTTACGTTTATTTTCACAATGACAACAGTGAGGGACATCTGAGCGCGTGATATCCACCATCACCTGCTACTTGCCAGGCTTTGCCCTTGGAGTGAGCCCCTCTCTCAACCAGAGATTGTGCTCTCAGGTGGACACACGCCCCTACTGCCGTGAATTAAGGACAAGCACCAGGAAAGGCTGGGATTGGGGCAGAGGTGCGTCCCCTCCTCGCCTTCTTGGGTCCCTTCTCAGTCTGCTGGGGACTCTATTTGATACGCTCTGCAGAGGCCCAGAATTGGGACTTTGTGGTGTCTGGTCTTGAATGCTTTGCTTATGGTCCTGGAAATGAAATGAGTTTCCTGCTTCTCCAGTTTGACTCTGCTTGGCGGCCCCTAAACCCAGACAGGAAAGGGATGAGAGGCCTCCTCCTGGGTCCCTGGTCCCCCCTGTGAGAGTCCCCTGCCTGCTGTTCCTACCACCCTCTCCCCTGCCTTCGTGCTTTCACTCGCCTCGGCCCTGCTCCCTCAGCCCTCCTTGGCCACAGGAGGCCCCTCTGCTTCTCACCCAGGTCCCAGATGTACGACTCATGGCTCATGGCTTCAGGCGCCCGTTGAAAATTCAAGCAAGAATATGCCACTGCCAACTTTCTGTTGCCATCGGGGTGCCAGGAGACGTGTGTGGCTGACCGCTTGATTTCCTGGGGGTCCCTTTAAAGGGAGAGCAAGAGGCAGAAATCTGGAGTGCAAGGCTCCCACATTTCTCATTTACTAATTTTTTTCTTTTAAATATTCAAACATATTTAAGCATACTTAAAGATTCATGCAGAGGGATTTATTTTAAAAATGAAGTTTATAGGACTCCCTTGGTTGGAAAACCGATCTCACCAGCCATAAATAAAAGCTAATAATAAAGATTAAAACAATGGAAACAAAATAGTATATTCCAGTCTGCTGTTTTCATTTGTTGAAAGTTTTGAGCCTGAGGCATGATTTCCCATTATTATTAAAATAAAAAGGTGGGTGGAGAACTCAGCAATCATGCTCCTTGACATTTGCCCAAATGAATTGAAAACTTATGTCTACACGAAAACCTGCACGTAGATGTTTACAGTAGCTTTATTCCTAATTGCTAAACCTTGGAACCAACCAAAATGTCCTTCAGTAGTTGAATGGATAAATTGTGATCCTCCAAACATCGGAATATTATTCCGCACTAAAAAGAAATGAACTCTCAAGCCATGAAAAGATGTGATGGAAACAACACACATTACTAGGTCAAAGAAACTCATCCAAAAAGGCTGCATTCTGGTTCCAATTGTGTGACCTTCTGCAAAAGGCAAAACCATGGAGACAGTGACCAAAGATCAGTCATTGCTAAAGGTTTGGGTGGAGAAAGGGATAAATAGGTGGAACACAGGAGACTTTCAGGGTAGCGAAACCCATGGAACGTATGACACGGAGTCAGCCATCATGTAAACTATGGACTTGGGGTGTGCTATGGCTGACTCTCTGTGTCCCTCCCCAGCCCCCCAGCCCAGATACATAAGTTGAAACCTAATCTCCAATGTGATGGTATTAGGATGTGGGGCCTTTGGGATTAGGTCGTGAGGGTAGAGCCCTCATGAATGGGATTAGCACCCTTACAAGTGGGGTTCCAGAGAGCCCCCTCAGCCCTTCCACCGTGGGAGTTCCCAGGCAGAAGATGGCTATCGATGAATTAGGAAGTGGGTCCTCACCAGACACAGAGCCCGTGTCGGCACCCCGATCTCAGACTTCCAGCGTCCAGGACTGTGAGAAGTATTGGGCTGTCGGAAAAGTCCTGATGCATTTTTGCAACGAAAAACATAGAAAAAAATATGTCACGACATTTCCGACAACTCACTAGATCTCTGTTGCTTACAAGCCACCTCGTTTGTGGTACTTGGATACAGCAGCCCTAACAGACTAAGACCGGGTGATAATGATATGCCGGGGCCCATCGATTGTGACAAATGTGCCGCTCTAGGGCGGGATGATGACAGTGGGTGGGGGAGGAGGGGGTATGTGGGAACTCCCTGTTCTTTCCGATTAATTTTACTGTGGACCTAAAACTGCTCTAAAAATGAACTATTAATTTTTAAAATGAGGAGGGGCGGGAGAATGAGCAAGAGTTAACAAAGTATTCAAGACTTAATGGCCCCAGACTGAAATTTACTCCTTGAAGTCATCAGAAGGAATGAATGAAAGTGGAAACAAAATGATTCTCTCACTGGGAGACTCATCCCCTTCACTCCTCCCTGGGAGCATTATTATAGGAGAAAGCGCTTGGGCTGGGATCCAGGAGACCAGAGCACCATCCTTAGTTGGGTCACCCACTCGCTGTGTGCCCTGAGCACATCCTCCCCCTGGGGTGCGTTTCCTTGTCTGTCACACGTTGAGGTTGGATGGGATGATTTCTAGTACATCATGCGGCTCAGATATCCACATGTGAGGTCAGGCCCCAGCAGGGCTGGGACAGCAGGAGGGTCAACCCCTGCACTACCCTGGCCCCTCTCCTGCACGCCCCCTACTGGCAGCCACTGGTCCTGCTCTGCACACCCTGACTAAGCCCAGACTCAGAAAAGGGTCCTGCGTGCTCGTGCTGGGACTGGGCCAAGCCTTTCCCGGGACCCTCAGTGGGTTATGGTAGTAAAATGAACAACCCCCGCCCCCTCAAGGGTTGGCGTTTGAGGTTAGACACTCAAAATCACAGGACTATTCTCTGCATATTCAACCACATACACACACATGACTTTTTATATACAAAGCACAGATACACATACACATATACCCGTGCACATATGCACACATCTATAGGTGTATTTCAAACAAGAGCTCGCTACACAGTTTGTTTCATTTGCTTTGGTTTCACAACGTAAGCCTTGGAAACACTCCCTGTAGGCATATGAGGAGCTGCCTCTTGCATTTTGACAGCTGCATGGTTTTCCACTGCATGGGCAACACAGCATTACTGGAACCGGCCCCCTACCAATGGATTTAACTTGCTTCCAGCCTTGGACTAGCACACACCCTGCTGCAGTGAATAACCAGGTGCACAGCGATTTCACACATGTACCTGTGCGGTCAGTTCCTGTTGTCAAACTGCTATCCTTAGAGGTCACTCCCAGGTACGCGCCTCCTGAGGATGGGGACCAAGGGTCCTGTCGCCCACAGGGCTGCTGGATCACTGATGGTCTGCACTTTGTACTCACTCTACATTGGGTGACCCTACACGGCTTTGCACATTCGCTTTGTCTTTCCCTGGAGTCCTGCCTTTCCACCAACCAGGCCTGTCCCCAGGGTGGGGACCACTTGTCTGCTGGGCGCTTTATTGCCTCTCCCTCATCAAGCCTGGAGCACAGCGGGATTGGCAAGGAGTCATGTTTGGGAGCACCTGCCCACAGAGGCGACAGAGATTGGCCAGCANACTTGAAGCTTATCTACTCTTTGTCTTAATAGATTTTGTTTTCATTTTCCCAGGAGTGTACAGCGAGAACCCATCCTGTTACTCAGAGCTGTTCCTAGGAGAGCTGATTTTGTAGAACAACAACAAAGGTACTTGACCATTAAATGTTGATTTATGGACGCCAAGGCTAAAGCACGTGCCCTGGACCAGCCTGGCCCAGAAATTTCTTAGCTAAGCTTTGCTCTCCTTGCACAAAGCAGTGCTCAAGGGTCGGTCCCGCTGCAGTCCTCCTTGCAGGCAGCAGAGCCCCAGAGCCCGGGCTGGTCTGAGCTGGCGTGAAAAGCCACTGCAAGGGGTTATGAATAATGAGTGAGGCAGGGCTCCTGAATAAATCATGGCAGATCCTGCTTCAGTCTTTTAGGGCCCTAGCACCCAGGTAATTTGGCAGGGAGATTTATGGGAGCCCGCATCTATTCCATAACCT